ATTAATAGTTCTAAATGCTTAGTGTATCTGAGTCAAATGTACGTAACAGCTAATTTCCTTGAATATTTACTGGGGGGTTGAAGAAACAAGTTCCTTATAAAAATTGCTTCTCTAATAAAATGTCAACGTCATGTTCAATGCTATATTGATTGAATGTTATATTGATATATCTGTTACATTATAAAAGAAAATTAAATTCTGCTCCTCTAAGGAGCCAACAAATTTTGTTTTAATGCTCATCTTTGGGCTCATCTCCTTAATTATTAAATTTTTGTGGACCCCAATAGCAGTTTTTGTTTTAATATTTACCTTTTCAAAGTCATTAGGCTGGTCAAGTGATACCACAGCTTCTCTTTACATCTTCGATACTTCTCCCGACTGGATGTTCCCTACTGTGAATGAAGAGTGCAGTGGTGATGCCCCATTAGGAAGCAAGGCAATGACACTCTGCATTCACAGTAGAATTCTCAGTCTTCCAGGTTGAGTGACAATGGCCGCCATCTAACTTGGAGGACTAAGCACATCCTGTGACCAAGAAGAGGTACTGTGGGTCACAGCTCCAGGTTAAAAAAAAGCTAGCATTGCAATACAACACTTTTTTTTTGGCCCTGAATTGGGCTTTGGAAGCTGGCAATGGATTTTTATTCTGTGCTTAATTATTGTTCATAGTATACAGTAATTGGATATTTCTACTTTTTAGTATGAAGAGCTGTGTATGACTGCTGGAAAACATGGAGATGATCTGCGAAATACCAAGCATGAAGTTGCTGAACTAAACCGTGTCATTCAGAGACTTAAAGCAGAAATTGACACTGTGAAGGAACAGGTGCTATGTGTTTTGATTTTTTTTTTCTCTTGCCTTTTTTTTTTTTTGCTTTGCCTGGTCTGAATGTTAACATAAATATTCCTTTCTAAAACATAACTCTGCAAAACTTTTTCATTAAGAAAACATGCCTATCCTTGCTAATGCTCATTTTACATAAGTGCTGCATGCTACATCATATATCTTTATTTTTTAAAAATTCACTTCATGTTATCACTGACATAATCTGTTTTTTTTTTTAATACACATCATGTTAGCATACTTGGCAAAATCTTCATCCTAGTCCCTAGAACACTGTCACTCCTGCCCACAGAGCCCAAAGGTGGTCTTGAACAGATCTGGCCCACTTTTCAATGGTCCCAAGCAAGTCATGATCACTTTATGGGCAGCCCCATATCTAATTATACAGCAAAAGCCCACTTGCAGATGCAATACCTACAGTGATGCTGTGATCTTGAGGTGCAGCGCAAGTCCTACCATAATCAGGTCAGAACACCTAGATGTGGAATTGTCCCAGCGAATCTGGGACAGTTGACATCTATGTGTTAGCTTTTTACATCTTTACAAAGCAAAACTGGATATAAATTGTTAGTCCATAGGAAAAACACCCTCTCTAATTTAACTAATACCAGTTTAACTAAAATGGGAGACATAAACCTGGGCAAACTATTATTTTGGATCTAATTTGAGAAACGTAGAGACAGTAAATTGTTACTGGAAAATACAGTAGTATCTCTATTCCTTTGAATATTTTGTTTATTAAACTCTAAGATATAATAATTTACTGCAACTTTTAAATGTTTAACTAATATGTATGTCAAGCCAAAAACGTTATTCAAGTTTTGCATAGAATGGGAAGGGATTAGAACACCTGTCTGGTTTTTAATGCTATCCAAGGCTCTGTTTGAGATATTTCCCCTCAATTTCTATCCCAGAGACAATGGTTGTAGTAGACAAGAAGTGAGGGAAAATCTGACAGGTGTTCTAACCTTCCTCTACTCTACCAAAAATTTACTCAGTTTTGCTTTTGGAGAGCCGAAGGACAGATGGTGAGAGGAAATCTTTCTAAATGAGCACTCAACAGCAGTAAAAACTTGGCAGGGTTTCCAACGCTTTCCTTTCTGACCAAAACTAAGAATATAATTTAACCTTGACCTAGACTCTAATCATTTATAATGGACAGACCATTCCCCCTTAAAAGCTCCAAACAAAATGTAATTTCCCTAAAACACTTGTATATTATCTACCCTATATTAACCAAATAAAAAACCTTAAGCTTGAATATGAATTGAATTTTAATTAGGATAGGGCTACTCCTTAATGCAAAGTTTATGATAAAAAAGAGATCCTCTACCTTCTCCTATGTTACTAATTCTCAAAAACCTTTTTTAAAATAATATTAATGTCCCCTAAAATGGACAATTAAATGACCCTACCAAAGATATATCTTGTTGAAGATAAAAATGTCACTGCCATCTACTCTCATATGTGATATTGTTGTTATTAAGTGTATTTACCCAATATTCAGTTTTCTTAAGTAAATAATTGTTTGGAGGGAATTTGTTGAAAAGTTTCTTACCTGGAGATCCTGCTAGTAACAACTTTTCCTGTTGCAGGCTGACAATGCTGAACCAATTGTACACTCCTTCAGTTGGCTGTTGGGCTGCCCAGGGCAGCCATTGGAAATTTTTGGGCCCCATACACAGCTGTAGGCCTGCTTCCCTCCCGGCCTGACCAACAACATTCTCCATGGTCCAAACACTGACCATCCCACCAAATCTACTCACTGGCCATCCTATTAAGTTCTTCAGTGCACCCACTTTTATTTTAACACTCCTACAACTTAATATATGCATATGAAAAGTGTATTCCAAGTCAATAGTGCTTTCAAGATTTAACAGTAAGGAATTATAGTTTGGCCAAAAAATATGAAGCCTGCCACCACAACAAGGTAGATTCTGTTGAGCAGAACCATACACTAACAATAACTGCACAACCTTTTCAAAGAAACAACCTAATCCAGCAGAGACATCCCCATATATTCAGCAAAGAAATGGCCCAATCCAGCAAAGGGACAGCCCTATCCAGCGGAGACATCTCCATTTATTCAGCAAAGAGATACCCAATCCTGCAAAGAAACAGTCATAGCACAGGTACATATCCAGGGGTCACAAGCTCCTGTTACTGATATAAGGAGACTCTCATCTATTGGGGGGTCTATAAGGGGGGTGTTGCTGACTGCTGATCTTATGGTTAGTCACCAACCATTAGAACAGCAGTCAGCACCTCCCAATAGTGACCTCCCCATTAGCTTATATCAGTCCCCCTTCATCTTTAGAAACCTCCAGAGATCAGAGAAACCCCCTTATATCAGTGTCCCCTGCCCTCTTTTAGGACCTCTATTTAGGTTACCTTTCCAGCAGGACTCAGGAGCTGTTGCAAGAAAGTGTGAGAGTCAGATTTGAGGGGGTGAAGCTGGGGAGGTGGAGCAGCTCTAATGCTATTTTCCTCCCACAATGCATTGTGAGTACAGCGCTATAAGCGATGACTGCAAAGGAGATCATCAAGGCGACGGGAAAAGAGGCACCGGGTGTGGGAAAACTGAATGAAGAAAGCACAGGCAGATGCAGCTGACAGGAATCCTCACTGGGTTGAGGATACCACACTGAGAGGAGAACAGTGCTGGAACTTGGTCTGGCACTGGCTTCATCCACAGGAGTCTCTAAACAGAAGCAATGGTTTGTTAGTTGGGGCCCGGGCCCCTCAGGACACCCAGGCCCCCTACATGGGTATGTGCTGTCCCCTCAATGTCAGCCCTGGGGTTGCCTATCTGACAGGCCAGAGAGTCAACTAAAGTAGCTAATAGGGCAAACTGAGGATGCTGCTACTAATTGCTAGCCACAGACGGATAAAAAAGCAGACATTAAACGTGTACCAAAACATATTTTATAAAATACTGATATAAACACTGATGATTTTCTATTCCATTTGTCTCATGTGTTTTGAAAAAGATAAACATCCACCATTATGGTTCCTACAATGTTCCCAGACCCATTTCGGAGGGTGCAGTGCACTCTTTATCACTATTAAATTACACATTTTTTGTATCTCTGACAGCGTTCAAAACTGGAAGCTGCCATATCAGAAGCTGAAGAACGTGGAGAAGTGGCAGTCAGAGATGCCAAGAATAAATTATCTGAGTTAGAGGAAGCTCTACAGAAGGCCAAGCAGGACATGGCTCGCCAACTGAGAGAATACCAGGAACTGATGAATGTTAAACTAGCTCTGGATATTGAGATCGCCACCTACAGAAAACTGCTCCTGGAAGGAGAAGAATGCAGGTATGAACTTTTTCATAATAAATACGCAGAAATAAATAAACCATAAATGTAAGCTTGCATTGAGTGATTTGTAGTCCTTCTTCTGCTACCAGTTGCAGGCAAAGTAGGAAGGGCTCAAGCACCTTAATACTTCTGTTGATGGGACTGCAAAATAATCAAAGTGATTAGGGAAGCAATTTTAAAATTCTGATTACAAAAAATGGTCAAAATCGTATTGTTTCCCAATAATAGTGAGACATACATGTGGTAACTAAAATTAATCTCTACTTGTCTTTTAGGCTATCTGGAGAGGGAAGTGGCACTGTTAGCATCTGTAAGTATGACATTCCCACAGTAGGTGTAATAAATATTCAACAGTCGCTTTATACTTTCAGAACTCAACTTTAGTGATTCTTGGTCTCTTTCAAGTCAGAAATTTGTATTTCAGCAATAGCATAGCATAGCATATGCAGTAAAATACTACATTGTATTTTGGGAAATTCCCATTTGGTGGTGCTTTAACATGCATTCATTTTAAATGGGCAGTCAACTCAATGAACATAAAAACACACCTACATCATTTATTCCCAACGCAGAACATCAACACATGGCATGGGCCTTGATGTGCACTGAAGTGGAGACATGTTACTATGTTGTGTACATGCATTTGGATGCAATTATAAATGAATGGCAGCAGACTGCAACACATATACACATGTGTTAGGGTAAAACATTCACTAGTCTGCAATGCACTAGTCTGAATCAGCCCTAAATATCTCCGTTATGTTATAAGCATCTATCTTTTAATTTTTCATGTCATTGGTAACTATGGCTAATTATCTGTATTCTTTTTATAGCTGTACTACACTCCAGCAGTGGAGGATCCCGTGGAGGAAGTGGACATCATCACAAGAGTGGGTTTAGCTCAAGCAGTCTGTCCAAAGGGAAATACAGTTCAGGACATGGCCATAGTTAAAGACAATGTGACTATGTCCTGGCATTCCACAACATGTCCAATGTCAATATGTAAACCAATTTTATGCCAACATTAGCTAGAAATATTTGAGTAACTATGAAATTAAATGGACAGTTTCCAGTTTAGTAATGTGCAAAGAAATTTCAGTGCCTGTATCTGAAACATTCACTGCTTGATATGGCTGTCCAGTTAACGCAGCTTTGCTTGATATAAAAAGACAAACGGTTCACCAATCTTTTAATTTGGCAGGACTAGAAACCTAAATGTCTCAAAAGGTTTAGCAGTTAGCAAGCACATCATTTTGTGAACAGCTATTAAATCTTCTTTCTTGAAGAACCCAACTTACAAATTTAGATCCTTCCACAAATACCATGGTCATTACTACAGAATGAAGTGGCCCACTATTAACAAACAAAATAGCCTGGAACTCCTTAGTACACACCATACCAATGTGTTTTACTAATACAAATTCATTTAGTATGACAATCTACTCATTTTCTATCATATAGTGAGTGCATTTTAGCATTATCTGTTAAGCTGATGTAGACTTGACACAAGTACGTCTGCAAGATTTTCTTCACAATATGTAAGGTGGAAGCTGGAGTTCAGCTTTAGAGTGACAATTAAAATGTAACAAAATTTGAAACTGTAATTTCAAAAGCTGATTTGTATTTAGAGATTTTGTGTACTATCTCCTTTTTCTGTATTTGTTCTGCTTGAAAATTAAATTAGCTATGCCTATAAAAAGTATTTATTGTGTTTTTCTTAACTCTATGAACAATTTGCCTGAATATTTTTTACAATTTCTAAGGACATAGCTATTTACTGGTACACTATTAAAGTGGAACTTTAGTCATAAAATCAAGTCCCACTAGAGCACTTCAGTCTGGTCTCTTTCGCAGGTATAGCTATGTAAAACAAATATGTGCCTATGCTGTTTAAATTCCAGCAATACACTGCCAAAAATATAAAGGCTAATGTGCTGACAGCCTAAAGATTTGCTGCTGCTCAGGGTTCGAGGCCTCCAGCAAGAAGAAGAAACAGGAACAATGCTGGAGGGAATTTAACACACACTAATTTTGGTAGCAAACTATTAATGTGGAATGCATGCTAAAGATCATTATTTTTAATCAAGTTGTTATGGGTAAAATAAATATATATAGTATCTCACGGAAGTGAGTACACCCCTCACGTTTTTGTAAATATTTTATTATATCTTTTCATGTGACAACACTGAAGAAATGATGCCTTGCTACAATGTAAAGTAGTGAGTGTACAGCTTGTATAACAGTGTAAATTTGCTGTCTCCTCAAAATAACTCAACACACAGCTATTAATGTCTAAACCGCTGGCAACAAAAGTGAGTACACCCCTAAGTGAAAATGTCCAAATTGGGCCCAAAGTGTCAATATTTTGTGTGGCCACCATTATTTTCCAGCACTGCCTTAACCCTCTTGGGCACGGAGTTCACCAGAGCTTCACAGGTTGCCACTGGTGTCCTCTTCCACTCCTCCATGATGGCATCGCGGAGCTGGTGGATGTCAGAGAACTTGCGTTCCTCCACCTTCCGCTTGAGGATGCCTCACAGATGCTCAATAGGGTTTATGTCTGGTGACATGCTTGGTCAGTCCATCACCTTTACCCTCAGCTTCTTTAGCAAGGCAGTGGTCATCTTTGAGGTGTGTTTGGGGTTGTTATCATGTTGGAATACTGCCCTGCAGTCCAGTCTCCAAAGGGAGGGGATCATGCTCTGCTTCAGTATGTCATAGTACATGTTGGCATTCATGGTTCCCTCAATGAACTGTAACTCCCCAGTGCGGCAGCACTCATGCAGCCCCAGACCATGACACTCCCACCACCATGCTTGACTGTAGGCAAGACACACTTGTCTTTGTACTCTTTGTACTCCTCACCTGGTTGCCGCCACACACGCTTGACACCATCTGAACCAAATAAGTTTATCTTGGTCTCATCAGACCACAGGACATGGTTCCAGTAATCCATGTCCTTAGTCTGCTTGTCTTCAGCAGACTGTTTGAAGGCATTCTTGTGCATCATCTTTAGAAGAGGCTTCCTTCTGGGACGACAGCCATGCAGACCAATTTGATGCAGTGTGCGGCGTATGGTCTGAGCACTGACAGGCTGACCCCCCACCCCTTCAACCTCTGCAGCAAAGCTGGCAGTACTCATACATCTATTTCCCAAAGGCAACCTCTGGATATGAAGCTGAGCACTCAACTTCTTTGGTTGACCATGAAGAGGCCTGTTCTGAGTGGAACCTGTCCTGTTAAACCGCTGTATGGTCTTGGCCACCGTGCTGCCGCTCAGTTTTAGGGTCTTGGCAATCTTCTTATAGCCGAGGCCATCTGTATGTACTATAGAGCAACAAATCTTTTTTTTATAGATCTTCAGAGAGTTGTTTGCCATGAGGTGCCATGTTGAACTTCCAGTGACCCGTATGAGAGAGTGAGAGCGATAACACCAAATTTAACACACCTGCTCCCCATTCACACCTGTGACCTTGTAACACTAACTATTCACATGACACCGGGGAGGGAAAATGGCTAATTGGGCCCAATTTGGACATTTTCACTTAGGGGTGTACTTATTTTTGTTGCCAGCGGTTTAGACATTAATGGCTGCGTGTTGAGTTATTTTGAGGGACAGCAAATTTACACTGTTATTAAAGCTGTACACTCACTATACATTGTAGCAAAGTGTAATTTCTTCAGTGTTGTCACATGAAAAGATATAATAAAATATTTACAAAAATGTGTATTCACTTCTTGTATATATATATATATATATATATATATATATATATACTGTACACTCACTAGCTACTTTATTAGGTACACCTTGCTATTGCCAAGGAAATATCCGCCACCCCATTACACCACCACCACCAGCTTGACCCGTTGATACAAGGCAGGATGGATCCATGCTTTCATGTTGTTTACACTAAATTTTGACCCTACCATCTGAATGTCACAGCAACCAGTCTGCCCATTCTCCTCTGACCTCTGACATTGAAAAGACATTTTCATTCACACAACTGCAGCTCACTGGGTATTTTCTCTTTCTTGGACCATTCTCTGCAAACCCTAGAGATGGTTGTGCATGGACATCCCAGTAGATCAGCAGTTTTTTAAATACTCCGACCATCCCATCCGACACCAACAACCATGCCAAATTCAAAGTCACTTCAATCCCCTTTCTTCCTCATTCTGATGCTCAGTTTGAACTTCAGCAAGTCATCTTTAGCACATCTATATGCCTAAATTCATTGAGTTGCTGCCATGTGATTGGCTGATTAGCAATTTGTGTTACCAAACAACTGAACAGGTGTACCTAATAAAGTGGCTGGTGAATGTATATATAATTTTTGTCATCTTCAGGCTAAAAGCTTGATTTAATTTTTTTGAATAAAGTCTCAAGCTTGCTTGGAATCTATGCCAAAAGCTAGAATATTAGCCTTATGTTCAGGAACCACTCTGATTGATTCCCATTCATTAGTGAATACCATAGGATTTAAGCTACAGCTGGGTTGGACAGCTGGCGTGTTTGCTGCAAGCTGTCATAGATTAGCATTCCCACAGAAGGGGAGATCAAGCAGGGAGATTCTACAAATTGTGGCTGGGAAGTAGTTAAAATAGACCCCAGCAATGGGAACTGAGCATATAATATGTAAATAAATTCACTAGCATAGTTACCTCAAGTGAAAACTGCAAGTCAGAACTATCAGTGAATCCAAAGATAGAGGGAGAAAAGCTGAAAATCTATGCAAACCCCAGCTTTTACTTTAAAAGTGAAGCAAGGCCCTGAAGCCTCTAAACTCCCAAGCCTCCATAATGGTCCTTGAATTTGACAAATGACTTCACTGATAGAAATGGGCAGAATGATTTTCATAAAATATATTTTTTCTGTGAAATTGCTGACTTCACCTTTGGTAAACTGTTGGCAGAATTCGCTTCTTATTGAGCCCACTGAATTTTGTTGAAATGTTGGGGAATTAAAAGCTCTAAGTTTTCCTCATCTTTATAAGGGAGCCAACATGCATCAGGGTCAGATTTTTTTCCTGTACAAATGAATATAATATATAACATCAAAAATTGGGAAAATAAACACAAGTATCTATAAAATTATATTTTGGAAAAGATAAAAATAAATTGGGCATAATTCAGTAGTATTGATTACCTGTGTCTTTTGCTATAATGGTCATCAACATAACGTACTTACTCATTCTGCAAACAGAGAGATCTGAAACAAGGTAAAGACAGCCCAAATCACCCTGATATCATGCGGGTCATGAGTTTACTCTTTACAGAAACCTACATGTGCTGTATGAAAACATTGACTGTTTAACCACTTCAATATGGGGCACTTTTACCCCCTTGCTGCCCAGAACAATATTCAGCTTTTAGTGCTCTTGCAATGACAATTACTCAGTCATGCTACACTGTACCTCAACAAAACTTTTATCATTTTTTTCAAAGAGATAGAGCTTTATTTTGGTGATACTTAATCACCACTGGGTTCTTTATTTTTTGCGTAATAAGCAAAACAATAGCAAAATATTTAAAAAAAAACACTTTTTCTATTAAAACCTTTTGCAAATAAGTAAATTTTCTTCATAAATTTCAGCCAAACTTTTTACTGCTACATTTCTTTGGTAAAAATAACCCAAATCAGGGTATATTATTTAGTCATGTAGTTAAAGTTATAGAGTCTACAAGCTATGGTACCAAGCATTGAAAATTGATCACACCTGATTTGTTGACGGCCTATCTCATTTCTTGAGGCCCTAACATGCCAGGAAAGTACAAATACCCCCCAAATGACCCCTTTTTCAAAAGTAGACAGTCCAAGCTATTTAGTAAGAGGCATAGTGAATTTTATTAAGTTGTCATTTTTTCCATCAATTCTTGGGAATATGAAGAAATTATAATTCTAATTATCACACACTGCATATGCATAGTTGAAAATACACCCCAAAAACACATTCTGCTACTCCTGAGTATGGTGATACCATATATGTGAGACTTGTTCACAGCCTGGACACATGCAGAGGCCATAGATCCAAGTAGTACCATCAGGCGTTCTAGAGGCATAAATTACACTTTTAATTTCCTGACTACCTATCACATATATAAGGCCAGGACAATGGAATTACCCATAAAAAGAACACTATTTTGGAAATCAAACACCCCAACGTACATTCTATGAGGCATAATGAGTCTTTTGAACATGTCATTTTTTTCCACACGTTTTTGAAATATGTAGAAAGGAAATGAAAACATATGTTTTTTTACCAAAAGTTGTCAATTTTAAGATATTTCTAACATATAGTATGTACATATTAAGAATTACACCCCAAAATACATTCTACTGCTTATCCTGAGTATGGCGATACCACATGTGTGAGACTTTTACACATCCTGACTACATACAGAGCTGAAGATCCAAGTAGCACCTTCAGGCGTTCTAGGGGCATACATTACACATCTAATTTCCTGACTACCTATCACATAATATTCAAGGCAGCAGGCAGGAACATAGTCCATAAAAAGTCCTGGGTCATTACAGGCAGCAGGCAGAGATATGGTCAGCACAGCCAAAGTACTGGATCAGGTAGCAGGCAAGAACATGGTCCATAATAAGAACTGGGTCATTACAGGCAGCAGGCAGAGATATGGTCAGCACAGTATTGGTCCAGGCAGCAGGAAGGAACATCAGGGTTAGGGCCGCAGTCAGGTAAGACCTGGCCACAGGGGTAGAGGCTTCGTCCCACCCAATCTCTTCGAAGCCTCCGGACTAATAGATCCTGATCCGGGAATTACAAAACCCAGAGAAAACCAAAAACTGTTTTTCTCTACTCTGAAGTCCCTCACATATCTGAGACCCCTGTGTTATCTTGAATCCCACTACTGCAGTAGCAGTGAAAAAGTTCAGTTCAAGCGCCAGGCAAAAAACATGGTCGATTAACAGGCCGAGGTCAGTGCAGGTGGAAGGCAGAAACATGGTTTAGAAACAATCCAGATGGTAGGTAAATGCATTGTCGGTAAACAGGCCAGGGTCAGTTCAGGTGGAAGGCAGAAAAGCGGTTTAGAAACAATCCAGACAGCAAGCAGAGGCATCACTGGTAAAGAGGCCAGGGTCAGTTAATGAGGAAGGCAAAGGCATTGTCAATCAAGGCAGCAGGCAAATGATCAGCACGGATTTTAGAAACTGGGAAATGGCAGGCTATTAAAAATAAGGGGAACTAATATTTTAGTGACGTGTGATAACGTCGGAAGCAGTCTCCAATGCATAGGCCCAGTTGGGAGGGACGTTGGGGACAATGAACAATGGTGTCTTTCCTAACTCCTCTTCTGCTGCATACCCAACATTGTTTTTGGCGTCTTCTTCCTGATTCTGTGGGTGGAAAGTTTTCTGGAAAATATTGCTTGTGAAGTCTGCTCACACAATCAGAGCAAATGTTTTCTGGGGAGATCCTTGCCTGTAGATCAGGGCAGTGATAATTTCTTCTATATATTTGAGGAAGGTGGTGGATCTTTCTGTTGACTTTTGATAGATGACAAACGTATTGTAAATGGCCAAATGGAAAAAATAAATTGCAACTTTTTTATACCAGAAGAGGGACTTTTTTGTTGACAAATAGGGCTGTAGCATCTGATCATTTAAATCTACCCCCATGAACCGATTATAATCGTAGATACATTCAGGTGTTTCGATGGGACTGCGTCTTCCATGAATTTCCACCGAGGTGTCATTGGATGGTGGACAGGAAGTAAACATCTCTATTATCCCTCCACTTCATGGCCAACACTTCCTCATTTCTCAGACTTGCGGATCCCCCCCCTTTGTAGCCTTGTGGTTACTAAACTTTGTGGGAAGCCCTTTCTATGTTTTTGGGTGGTAACACAGGTTTTCGCACATTACAGATGCTGGAAAAGGGGCCGACTGGTATAAGAGTTATCAAGGTAGATATGATAACCTTTTTGGAACAGTGGGAATGCCAGGTCCCAGACAATTTTGCCACTTGTAGGTTGGGCACTCAGGGGACTGGAGCTGGGAGTCTTTGCCTTCGTACATGCGGAATACATGCACATATCCTGTAGTTCTTTCACAGAGCATGTTCAACTTCAACCCATACCTGGCCCTTTTACTGGGAATGTATTGCTTGAATCCCAACCAGCCAGTGAAGTGGACAAAAGATTCATCCACACAAATTTGTTGCTCAGGGACATAAAGTTCCACAAATCTCTTAGCAAAAGAATTTATTAGGGGGTGGATTTTGTATAGCCTGTCATAGTTGGGATGATCTCGGGGAGGGCACTGTGAGTTATCATTGAAATGCAGGAATAGCATGATCAGATCATAGCATGACCGGGACATTACAGCAGAATAGATTGGGCATATGATGGATGGAGTTGGTGGACCAGTAGGCATGCAATTCATTTTTTTTGTAACCCCCATATTAAACGTAAGGCCCAAAAACAATTTTAACTCCTTCACTGTGAGACGTCTCCATTGAAAAGGATGGGCATAGGATGTACTGGGATTGTTATCAATATACTGCTGAGCAAAAAGGTTTGTCTGGTCCACAATGTATTGAAGTAAATTGGCAGGGAAAATCAAGTTAAAAAAAACAAGAAAAATGTTCAGTATTGGTATGCACACCTGGCTGTGAGGTAAAAGGGGGGAAGCTGATCCTGAGCTGGAAGGCAGCCATAAAGGGTTTGCCAGGGTGTCAGATATATGTTTGGGCCCTAATTCTTGGGGTCTGGTGGGATGCTTCAGTGCTGGTACTAGGCCTTTAATCCTGGGGTCTAGCGCCATTAGTGTCTGCTGATTGACCATTGGGGTGTATGGCGCTACTTGTGCTTGCCTGCTTTTCAGAGTGCCGTATCCTTTTAGGAGGGACTGCTTCCTCCTCTAATTCGGTCACTGACCCGCTACTTTCTACTGGCTCATATTCCGAATCGGATGGTGAGAGCTCCCCGCTGCTCTCATCCGACATGCTGTGGATTTTCATCACCTCCAACTAGTAAAATATTTTTTGGACATTGCAGCTCTGGTGATTGGGGCTGTATGAGGGGTAAACTTCTGATGGATGGCTCTGATGGGTACACTGTTGATGGGCGGCAGTTGTGTCGACTCTGTGATGACTACACTGATTAGGTTGCACTGATGGCTGTGGTGACAGGTACACTGATGGGCTGCACTGATGAATGCACTGACAAGTACACTGATGGATGCACTGATGGGCTGCACTGACAAGTATACTGATGGGCTGCACTGACAGGTCCACTGATGAGCTGTGCAGTGATGGGCGGCACTGACAGATGCACTGATGGACGGCACTGACAGATGCACTGATGGGCGGCACTGACAGATGCACTGATGGGTCCACTAATGGCTACACTGGCAGATCCGCTGATTGGCTGATCTGAGAGGGACTCTTTTTTATTAGGGGCAGTGTGGTGCACAGTAGTGAAAGGGTTTAAAAAACTCACTGTTCCTAGATTCTCCTCTTCACACAAGATCAATGTGTGAGGAGAAGATAGCAACAGTGAGTGACCGCTGTGTGTTTAAATTTATGATCGGCTGTGACCTGTCACAGCCGATCACGTGGTAAAAAGGCAATTTCATTGGCTCTCTACCTTCAGCGGGGAAGTGCTGTCTCTGAGGGACACAGCCTGACAGCAACAGCCACGCTGCATGATGCACAGGACATCATATGAAGCCCAGTCACAGGGAGAAAAGGACCGCCCGGCTATCAATCTGCTATAAGCCAGGCGGAAACGTGTTAATTCACCCAAATCACCCAGCTATGTTACTTTCTAGAACAGTACTCAACATTTAGAAACTGGATTTAAACTGGAACAAGGCTCTCTGCGAGGTCCTGATCATGTGATCACTGATTAGCCAATCAGTGATCATATGCAGAGTAGTAAGCAAGATGTCACTTGTGACATCATTGCTTACTACATGTGAAATCTGTGAATGATCACAGAGGTCACATGGTACAAGGCTATTCACACCAGCCTTGTACCATGTAACAAGCTGTGACCAATCACAGCTCACACAGTAGTTCTCAATGGCTGCAAGAATGCAGCCAGAGAGAAGGAGAAATGATTGCTTTTCCAGCCTTTATGGGTGTAAAAGCAATCAGTGTAAAAAAAAAAAAAAAAATCTTCATCACCCCCCACCATGGTGACACTGTACTGCTAGGGTGACAGTATGTAAAAAATAAATAAATAAATAATAATATAAAAAATGTAAAAAAAAAATTTAAAATTTTTTAAAAAAATTATAATTTTTGGTTATAAACTAATTATGGTTGTTTTTTTTTTTTTTACTAAAAAGGTAATGGAATAAATTTTGGCCAAGGTGTATGATGAAATATTATTTATTTGCAAAATTTTATAAGAAAAACATTCAAAATTTTTGGACATTTCATTTACATAGCAAAGAAAATTAAAATCCCAGTGGTGAATAAATACCGCCAAAATAAAGCTTTATCTGTCTAAAAAAAATGCTAAAAAATTCATATGGGTACAGTGTTGCATGACCGCGCAATTGTCATTCAAAGTGTGATAGCACTGAAAGCTGAAAATTGGCCTGGACAGGAAGGGGGTAAAAGTGTCCGGACTGGAAGTGGTTAAGAAGTGTTGCTGTTTTTTGGGGGATAATCTTGTACCCCTAACTTTCTCCACAAGTTAATGGAACAAATAAAATATATTGTTAACCCCTTCCCTCCTGCTCCCGCTTCCCTTCCTGCTGCCGATTGTTAGTAGGGACTGAGAGCTATCAGCTTGGAGCTCTCAGCACAGAAACATTGGCAGCCCAGTGATGTGCAGCCTGTGAGTGTTAAAGTGTTACTAAACTCACAACAGTAAACTCAGTCTGTATATGCATAAAGCATGCTTGTTATACTCACTGTGGAACCTAAGGAGTTAATCCTCTGCATTGTTTAAAAATGCTGTTTGATCCTGACTTCTCTGATCCTCCCCTTCTTCCAGTGTCTCCCTTTTATCTCCTGATAAGACATATCATGTGTTAACACTCTGCACATGCTCAGTTTAGTGTGTAGTACTAAACAGGTTTTTTTTTTCTTGGGAGAGTGCATGTAATCAGCACAGGGCCAATCATCACTATCCAGACAGAGGTCAGGGTTTTACATCCTCCTAGAGCAGAAAGAAAACTCCTCCTACCAGCTTTAAGCAGTGCTCTGCTGGACACTGATAGAAGTCACAAGACTGCTTTAACTGCTGATGAGAAAAGGTATTTAGCAGCTTATATTTACTAAAATAATTGCATTTCCATGTTGTCTGTACTGTGGGAGACCAGATAGAGTGAATGTAGGATCCTGGGTTTAGTAACACTTTAAAGCACATGCTTTTGCCATTGCACATAAGTGTTATGTGGGTGTCAACAGGTTAAAAATAGAGTGAAGGAAGCTGATTGCTACCACTGATGGGTCAGTGTATTGTCAGGTGCAGCTAAAGAGTGGGTCACCATTATGAAGGGCAGGATATCCCATTCAAATTCCAACAGCTCCTTCGTGAGTGAGTGCTAGATATACTATATATAAGTTCAGAACTGATTCTATAAACAATTATTGTGCTGCATTCAGTCTTACGTCATCCACTAATTTCCTGAAAATATGTATTAAAGTGATTTTGAAGAATTGTTTTTTTTTTAAAAAACAAACATGTTATACTTACCTGCTCTGTGCAGTGGTTTTGCACAGAGCAGTTCAATCCTCCTCTTTTTGGGTTCCCCGCCTGTAGTCCTGGCTCTTCCAGCCTGCTGAGTGCCCCTAATAGCAAGCCTCTTGCTATAGGGGCATTTGAGCTGATGGGGAAATTATATATTTTATATTTCCTTATTATATTTGGCTCACAATATCTAATGAGACAAGGATGGTCACTTTAGATGACTTACACCAAAGGAATGTTACTGCAAACTGAACCAAGTTGTTAAAAGGTCTTATTACTTGCAGTGAGGGGGGGGGGCTGGACTGGAAATATTTGTCTAATCTCAGAGCTGCAATAAGCAAGTGTCTGAGGTCACCTGTGTACCATGCCATGTAATTGGAGGGACCCATGGCTGAAACAGCATCTTTAGTTAAGTATTCTTGTTATATTTTCTTTTTCTTCATCTGTATCTTTTTTATTATTATTTTTATACAGGATTTATATAGCGCCAACAGTTTGCTCAGCGCTTTACAAAATAAACGGAGACAATACAGCAACAATACAGTTCAATACAAGAGGGATAGGAGGGCCCTTCTCCTTGGCGCTTACAATCTAAGAGGGAGGGGCTGGTGGTACAAAAAGGTAATAACTGTGGGGGATGGACTGATAGAAGGAATAGAAGATTCCATTATTAGCTGAAAGCAGGATAGGCTTCCCTGAAGAGATAGGTTTTCGGAGAATGCCTAAAAGTGGGCAGAGTAGGCGATAGTCTGATATATTGGGGTAGAGAGTTCCAGAGGATAGGGGAGGCTCTGGAGAAGTCCTGGAGACAAGCATGGGAGGAGGAGTGTCACGTACCTGATAGGAGACTGAAATGACAAGGTCGGTCTTACTAGTGTCACTAGCCCTGACCCCGCTGGAAGTGGAACAGAGGGTGTCTAGGAACCAGGGGAACAAAGTGCAGCTGAAGCCCTTAAAGAACTGGTGAACCACCAATTCAGGAACAGTAGCGATATGCAGAGCTTGTATGGTAGACCACCAGGCGTGCACCAGAGCAAGGCAGGAAGCTGGGATGGGAGACAGGAGCAACGTTATAGGAATAGCCAGGGTCATCAATGGGCGGACAGCGAGGTACCAAATCATAAGCAAGCCAAAGTCAGGAACAGAGCCGAGGTCAGGAATGAGTATCAAGCAGGAGAGGAATCAAGAGTCAGGTCAGGAACAAGGGAATCTCACAGGAACACAGCAAGGACACGGGGACAGCTGAAGACCAGTCAGCACTAAGCACAGGCAGAGGCACCCTTTAAATAGTCCGTCTGGCGCCAAGATTCGCCGTGTGTGTGCACGTGCGTGATCGCGCATTTCTGTGCGCATGTGCATGTCTGGTCACTATTCTCCAGATATTTCCGTGCGCATGCGCATTTCTATTTGCCAGCCGTCTCACAGGAATTCCCTTACAAGGAGACAAGGGAGCTAGATAGCAGGAGGTTGTGGGAGGAGCGGAGAGGATGGTTTTGGGTGATATTTGGAGACAAGATTGGTGATATAATTTGAGGCAGAGTTATAAATGGTTTTATATGTGATTGTTAATGTTTTGAATATTATTCGTTGGGCAATGGGAACCCAGTGGAAGGATTGCCAGAGAGGGATGGCAGATATGTAACGGTTAGTAAGGTGGATGAGTCTGGCAGCAGCATTTATGATAGACTGAAGAGGGGATAGCCTGTGATTAGGTAGGCCAATGAGGAGAGAGTTACAATAGTCAAGGCGAGAGTTAACCAGGGAGTGAATACGTTGCTTAGTAGTTTCAGAGGTTAAGAATGGGCATATCTTGGAGATGTTGAGGAGGTGAAGTCTACAAGATTTGGACAGTGATTGGCTTTGGGGTTGAAAGGACAGATGGGAGTCTAGGATAACACCTAGTACCCTTGCATAAGGGGAGGGCCTGATGGTTGTATTATTGATCTTGATGGAGAAGTCAGGGGAGAGGACATGGGATGGAGGGAATAGTATGAGCTCATTTTAGAAAGATTGAGTTTGAGGAAGTGGAGTGACATCCATGCCAATATGTCACTTAGTAGGTTAGTAATACGAGAGGAGACTGAAGGGGTGAGGTGAGGAGTAGAAAGACAGATTTGTGTGTCAGCAGCATAGAGATGGTACTTAAAGCCATGGGAGTTTATCAAGTGACCAAGGGAGGAGGTGTAGATGGAGAAGAGAAGGGGTCCAAGGACAGAACCTTGAGAGACCCATACAGAAAGAGGAAGTGGAGGAGGAGACCGAGTTATAGGTAATGCTGAAGGACTGCTGAGATAGGTAGGAGGAGAACCAGGAGAGAGCAGAGTCTCGGAGGCCAAGAGAGTGGAGTTTTTTTAGGAGGAGGGGATGGTCAACAGTATCAAAAGTCGCAGAGAGGTCAAGTAGTAAGAGCACGGAGTAGTGGCCATTGGTTTTTAGCTGTTAGTAAATCATTAGTGAGTTTTAGAAGGGCAGTTTCAGTGGAGTGTAGTGAGCAAAAACCAGACTGTAAAGGGTCAAAAAGGTTGTTGTCAGTGAGGCAGGAGCTCAGGCAATTGTAGACTAAGCGTTCTAAGAGTTTAGAGATAAACGGGAGCAGGGAAATGGGTCTTAAGTTGTTCAGGTTGGTGGGGTCCAGCGAGGGTTTTTTTAAATATGGGAGTGGTGTGTGCATGCTTTAGAGAGGTGGGGAATGCACCATTAGAGAGGGGGAGATTGAAGAAGTGAGTGAGGGAGCATAGTATAGAAGAAGAGGGTGACTGTAGTTGTTAGGGGACAGGATCCGGGGGCAGGTGCTGAGACGGGCTCCTGAGAAAACTTTAGTGACCTCTCTTCAAAAGAGGAAAGTGTTGAGGAAGGTTTATAATAAGGTATGCTATGGGATAGATGTCTGTGCAGTGGAAATGCCCCTACGAATTGCATCAATCTTGTTTTTGAAATGATTTGCAATCTCGTAAGCAGTGAGTGAGGTGCTGGGTGGAGAGTGGAGCTGGAGAAAGTAGAGCGTTAAAAGTGGAGAAGAGACAACGAGGACTGGATGACAAGCTATTGATGAGAGTGACAAAGTAGGCTTGTTTGGCAGCATGGAGGGAGGAATTGTAGGTTAAGAAAGCAGATTTATATAGGGTGAAAGCTTGCTGAGATTTGGTTTTACGCAACAATCGCTCCAGTGCACAGATATGTCTCTTAAGATTTCTGGTGTCATCAGTCTGCCATGGTTGTAATGGTTGGGGCCTGATGCTTCGTGTGGTTAGAGGAGCAAGTGAGTCTAGTGTAGATGAAAGCAAACTGTTGTTGAAAGCAGTGGCCAGGTAACGGCAGGACAGGGGAGAGATTCTGTCATAGAGGCAGTCAGTTGCAGAGTGGAAAAGAGAAGGATTTAAGTTGTGAAAGTTTCTGCGGGTAATTGTTTCCTGCTTGGAGGGATAGGGGTTTGAAGACGAGGACACTGTGAAGGTGATGAGATTGTGATAAGAGAGAAGAAAGGGGGTGTTTGTGAGGTTGTAGGGAGTGCAATGATGGGAGAAAACAAGGTCTAATGTATTTCCATCAGAGTGAGTGGAGGACTGTATCCATTGTGTTAAAGCAAAAGATGAGGTTAGATTGAAGAGTTGGGATGTAGCTGGGTTGTTCACATCAATGGGGATGTTAAAGTCTACAAGAATGATAGTGGGTATTTCAGAGGAGAGAAAGTAGGGTATCCAGGCAGAGAAGTCATCAAGAAAGCGGGACAACGGTCCAGGAGGGCGATAGATCACTGCAATCCTCAGAGAAATGGGAGAAAACAGCCGAATGCAGTGAGTCTCGAAAGAAGAGAAGGATAGAGAGGGGGGGTTATGGAGGACTTGACAGGTGCTCAGTGGGGATAGAAGCAAACCAACTCCACCTCCTTTCTGACCACTGGGTCTGGGTGAGTGGGTCCAGAGAAAGCCTCCATAGGAAAGTGCTGCGGGATAAGCAGAATCTGCTGCTTGAAGCCAGGTTTCTGTAATTGCTAGTAAGTTAAGGGAGTGGGAGACAAAAAGGTCATGGACAGAGGTGAGCTTATTACAGACAGAGCGGGCATTCCAGAGTGTACATGAAAAAGGGAGGGTGGTTTTTAGGAGCACGGGGATAGAGATTAAATTGAGTGGATTGCGGCTATTCCCGGAGGAAGGAGGGTGCCTAGTGTGGGGGTGAGATACTGGAGGACCAGGGTTTGGAGAGATATCCCCAGAGGTTAGGAGAAGAAGGAGGGTGAGGCAAGTAAGATGGGAGCGGGATGTATATGAGTGCACATGCCTTCCTGTCCTGGTGTTTGGGTCAGCAGGTGAGTAAAGTATCAGCAGGAGGTGATGAGTGCAGTAGTAGGGAGATGGTAGAGGTGAGCAGAGGGGTAAAGAAAGGAGATTTTGAGAACAGAGGATAGTAATATGAAAAAGAGGAGTAGAGGGGGGCAGGGGCATATTAAAAGGTAGATGGAGTGGGAATCAGACTTGTATGAAATGTTTCCCAGGGTGTTTGCTTGCAGTCCACCCAGCGTGCAGTAGAGTTCTTTGTTGTATCTTCCTGCTGCTTGAGTTATCCTGTTTTAGGTAAATGGCTGTGTTCA